CCGGGACGTCATTCTCCCGCTGTACTCGGCCTTAGTGAGGCCGCAGCTGGAGTACTGTGTCCAGTTTTGGGCTCCACAATTCAAAAAGGATGTGGAGAAGCTTGAGAGAGTCCAGAGAAGAGCCACGTGCATGATCAGAGGTCAGGGAAGCAGACCCTACGATGACAGGCTGAGAGCCCTGGGGCTCTTTAGCCTGGAAAAGCGCAGGCTCAGGGGTGATCTGATGGCCACCTACAAGTTTATCAGGGGTGACCACCAGCATCTGGGGGAATGTTTGTTTACCAGAGCGCCCCAAGGGATGACGAGGTCGAATGGTCACAAACTACTTCAAGATCATTTCAGGCTGGACATAAGGAAGAACTTCTTTACTGTCCGAGCCCCCAAGGTCTGGAACAGCCTGCCACCGGAGGTGGTTCAAGCGCCTTCATTGAACACCTTCAAGATGAAACTGGATGCTTATCTTGCTGGGATATTATGACCCCCGCTGACTTCCTGCCCTTTGGGCGGGGGGCTGGACTCGATGATCTTCCGAGGTCCCTTCCAGCCCTGATGTCTATGAAATCTATGAAATCTATGTCTATCTCTCCTGAAGTGGGGGGCCCAAAACTGGATGCAGTACTCCAGCTGCGGCCTCACCAAGGCCAAGTAAAGCGGGAGGATGACATCCCTGGTTTTGCTTGAGATGCATCGGGAGATGCACGCCAGAGTTTGGTTTGCTTTGCCAGTCACAGCATCACACCGGTGACTCATTCATCTTGTGGTCAATCAGGACCCCCAAGTCTCTTTCAGTCATAGTGCTAGGAAGCGTAGCACTGCTGAGCTTGTAAGTGTGTTGAGGGTTCTTCCTACCAAGGTGAAGCACCTTACACTTCTCAACATTGAAGGCCATCCAGTTTTGGTCAGCCCACCTTTAGAGCGTGTCCAAGTCAGCCTGTATACCCAGCCTGTCTTGTGGTGCGAATGCCCTCCCCTATATTTGGTGTCATTCGTGAACTTTGCCAGTTCACATCTGACTCCAGATCGTTAATGAAGTTGATAAAGAACACCAGCCCAAGTACCAAGCCCTGAGGGACTCCACTGCTCACCCTGCACCACACTGATTTGGTCCTGTCAACTAGCACTCCTTGGATCTGACCTTGTAGCCAGTTACCTAGCCATCAAAACATAAGATAATCAAAGCCACAGTTCCCCAGATTAGCCATGAGGACATTGTGGGAAACTAGGTCAAAGGCTTTCATGAAATCTAGATATATGACATCCACATCATCTCCCTTGTCCAGGGCTCGAGCCACTTGGTCATAGAAAGAGATGAGTTTGGTCAGGCAAGACCTGCCAGTCACAAAGCCATGTTGGCTGGCCTTCAGAAGCTTGCCTTCTGTTAGTCTGGTGTTGATGGATCCCTTGACAATTTTATTTAGGATTTTTCCAGGAATGGATGTCTGACTGATTGGTCTATAATTCTCTGGGTCATCCCTCCTCTCTTTCTTGAAGATAGGGACCATGTTGACCCTTTTCCAGTTTTCCGGGACCTCGCCAGAGCACCATGAATTTTCAAATATCTTTGCCAAGGCGGGTGCAATGATGTCTGCCAGCTCCTTCAAGACTCTTGGGTGCATTCTGTCAGGGCCCGCAGACTTGTGAATGTCCATATTCAAGGTGTTCCTTTACCTGACCCACATCAATTTTGGGCCCACCACCTGCTCCCAGGCTGGTTCGTGTCCTGTCTGACAGTGACACCCTTGGAAGGGTGAAAAACTGATGCAAAAAAATCATTTAGGAGATTGGCCTTTTCTTCGGTGTTGGATGTCAGCTGCCCTCTTTGATCCCACAGGGGCCCAATGCTATCTTTATTATTTTTTCAACTTCCCACATTTATTTTGCAACTTTAGTGAAGTCCACCTTTCAGCAGTGTTGCTGATGTATAATGCATTTTACTTGCTTGTGCTGGTAAAGGCCATAACTTCTATGAAGCTCAAATCTAGTTCTTGAAGGATGTTTGTTCCCAATGTGGACAGAACCCCGTTTGGACTTCAGTAAAATGAGCTTTGTATAACCGATGGAACTTATGGCTGCTATGAACCTCATATTTCAGGCCCCCAGTTTCTTCCAGCACAGTCTAGAATACTTTGATTATGATCTATCAAACTACAAAGAAAATTTTCCATCACTATTTTTCAAGCTTTGATGAATACAGAATTGCCAAGGATAGCAAACTCACTTATGGTAAATTCATAGGTTCATGGATGCTAGGGTTGCAAGGGACCTCGACAGATCATCGAGTCCGACCCCCTGCCTCGGCAGGAAAGAGGGCCGGGGTCAGATGATCCCAGTCAGATGCCTATCCAGCCTTCTTTTAAAGACCCCCAAGGTAGGGGAGAGCACCACCTCCCTTGGAAGCCCATTCCAAATTTTAGCCACCCTTACCATGAAGAAGTTTTTCCTGATACCTAGCCTAAATCAGTTTGTGACCATTGTTCCTTGTTACCCCAAGAAGTGCCCTGGTGAACAGAACATCTCTGATCCTTTGCTGTGTTCCCCTAATGAATTTGTAGGTGGCCACAAGATCACCTCTCAGCCTTCTCTTGCGGAGGCTGAAGAGGTCCAGGTCCCTCAGTATCTCCTCATAGGGCTTGTCCTGTAAGCCCCTAACCATAGGAGTGGCCCTCCTCTGGACCCTCTCAAGTCTATCAACATCCTTCTTGAAGTACAGCACCCAAAACTGGACGCAGTACTCCAACTGCGGTCTGACCAATGCCACAGAGGGGAAGTATCACCTCTTTGGTTCTATTGGTCATGCATCTGCTGATGCATGATAAAGTGTGATTAGCTTTGTTCTTGATTTTGTCACACTGATGACTGAACAAAGACATGTAAATAGAGTCGGATTCCATTTTTTTTCCCAGAAGCCCACAACATTTACAGAGTGAGAGAGACAGAAATTAACACTAACATAATGGGCTAAGTCAGTGATTCTCAACCAAGGTGCTGGGGCACCTTGGGATGCCCTCAGGTCCTTTGAAGGGTGCCCTGAGGTGTGAGGAGATAAGGGAGGTGTGATGAGATAAGTAGATCAGCTAAACAGGTATGTGCAGGCTCAGTCTTGTCCCTGCCTGGATGATCTCAGTCCTCCAGTGTCCAGCCCCTTTGCAAGGAGGTTAGTACTATAATATATTAACTAATTTTTTAAACTGGTGTCACTCAATTCACAAAAATTATGGAGGGGTGCCTTGAGCCTAGTGAGGGTTGCCTCAAGTCCAAAAAAGCTGAGAACCACTGGGCTAAGTCCTCCCACAAATTAGAGCAGATTTCCATGCTGGGGTTTAGACAGGGGCCAACCTGGTTAATGTGGCAAGTTGAATAACCTAATTATAATAATCCCCTAAGAATCTTTACATCAGAAAGAATTATTATAGTCTGCTGTACCCCAGGGCTTGAAAATACTCCAGTTCTTCCAGCACAACCCTGAAGCCAGGCTCAGAGAGAGAAGCAAGAGAGACTGGACCACACTGGCTGCGTACCAGCAAAGGATTTCCTATACCATTTGGAGGCTGCTTTAAGTGGCAGGGTAAAGTGAACATTAAGATTGGCCTAAATCTGGTCCAATATTTCTTAAAATATTTTGCATCACAAAAATGACCTAAAATAATTAAGAAATAAATGACAGTTCTATTGTTATAAGGAAGTGCTTTCGAATCAGTCAGGCCTACTAACCAAGGAATCACAGGTCTTTCATCAGTTCCCATTTAGGTTAATTGCTATGTTCACTAACCAGTTAATCAAAAAAGGAGAACTATCAATCTTCATAGGAACAGGTATGAAATTCTAACACTGCAGTAATTTACCACCCCATGCTTTCATGATCAGATAAAGGATGCTCTTTCATTTTAAATGTTTTATTCTAAGGGCTTCCTCTTCAAATTAACTACTTCAGAAACTGGAACCTTTACCTCTCAAAATTATGAGTCTAATTCCTATCATTTATTTTTCATATATATTAATAATAAAATGATAAACTACTCAGTCATGTTAGACAATTAATCCAAGGTCAAGTCACTAGATCTTTAGTGCTTATTCAGGCTCTGGACAATGGGTGCTCTCCAGCAGGGGCCTTAAATTAAAAGGTGACATTTGTAGCACACACTTTAAAATGTGCATCGGTCTCATTACATATGCACCTAAATGATTATCATTGTGATCCTGCAACTGTAGCACACATACTTCTGGTTAAATGTTCTTCTTCTAGGAAGTCAATGTGTCTCCTTTTACTGCTTGAACAGATTGCAGGAAGTCTAATGCATTCCTCCTGGAAACCTTAGGCTCAAACTCATCTATGCCACCCCTTGGTTTGAAAATGGAAGCCACTTCCTAAGCTTAGATCGTATAAAATATGAAATACCCAAGTTCCTTTGTTTATTTCTAGCTATCAAGTCTTGTTTAACTTCTCAAATATATTTTAGACGAGGGCTGTCCAACTTCAGTGGGGCTGGGGGCCACAGTGCGCAGGCCATATGTTGTGGGGCAGACCCCTGGAATCCCCCTTGTATTCCCCACTGAGCAGGCAGGCACTACCAGCAGTGGCATAACCTCCTCCTGGACCTTCCTATGCCATGCAGGCCCCTTGGCCCACAGGCTGCCAGATGAACAACCCTGTTTTAGACAAGTAAACCTCAGTGGAAATAAACATAAGAACTTTAAGAGTGAGTTGTTGCAGTATAGTCACACTTTGGCTCCCATTCCCAAGTGCAGTATACCATGGGTATAGCCATCAGAGGCTTAATCTTCCTCTGTTCCCCAAACCACTAACCTCTCCATCCTGAAAGTGTTTCTTGAGCTGCTTCAGCATATGAATAAGCTTCTTGGACTGCACTCCACTGTAAGCCAGCAGCATGCTACCAAACTGACGCTCAGTGATCCGCCCATTCACAGGGTCATGCCGTTCAAACTAGAAGAGAAAATCAAAACCAACAGCACAATATTAAAGCAGAATTCCATTTCAGTAGGAAACAGATGTTTTATTCAGGATGGACATAAACATCTACAATAAGACAGAGGTAAATGCTGTTAGCAGGACTTTGTTGAAGCAACTTTAATTATGTTGAACATTCCCATCTCCATCAATAAGTGAGTATTTTTTCTACAAGTGAATGCCTTTTGGAAATGCCTTTATCTTCATCTACTTGTTCCACTACACAGAGGAAAAGCAGGCTGGCTGGGAACAAACAATTACAATTCAGGATGGATAAATCTAATAAAAGCCAAACCAGATTTACTACTTAAGAAAAAACTTCACGCTTGAGGTAAAATTTGGCATCACAGGTTTCTAAGGGTACAAGGTAAAAGTTGAGCAATGCTATACACTTCATGCCACATGCACCAAGTCTTAGAAGCATCACGGAGAAACCAAACTGCTGCTAGTAACACTTTCTCACATTATGCTCCTGCACAGATACACGAATAAAAGCACATGTATGCAATGAAAAAGTATTTGTGTTCTGAAGGGCTGGGGGAAAGAGGGAAGGGAAGGAAGACATAGTTTGGTGGTCAATAAGCCAGGAAGAAAAAATCTTCCTTACAAGAAACAAAGTCTTTCATCACTCCACCCTCTATCCCATTCTAGTCCAAGTTCCTTCCTCACTCTCTTGATCTTATCACAAAGGCCTTAAAGCAACACAAACCAACAAACAAACCAACTCTCCAAACAAACCAGACCCACCACGAGTCTACAAACCATCACTCTGCTCATTCTGATGGTACATTTTAAACATTTCCTTCCAATCCCTTGCTGAACTTGTCTATTTGGATTATAAACTGGTTGGTGCAAACATTACTGTAACAAGAAAGAAGAAAAGTAAATGAAAACTTACTCTGTCAGTCCTTTGACTTAACAAGTTTGTTAAAGTTACCATTTTCCTAGTGAGTAAATGCTAGTAACTTTGGACAATTTGATGTCTGTTAATACCTGTGCAGGTAAAATCAAAACGATGAATTTGTCTAATTCTCTAAGAGCTGATGCCACAGAGTAAAAATCCACTAGACTATTAAAGCAAAGTAAAGCCAGCAGCTATCCCTTAATTTCCTTGTTCCACAACAAACACTTCCATTAAACATCTCTCTCTCTCCCTTTAGAAGCCCAAGTAAATAGACTTGCTGCACATCATGAATGTTAAGCTCAAACTATCAGAGCCATGTATGTATATATGCCTGGGGGAGGGTGCTCTTTGCCCCATACTCATCTTAGCAGCCAGTTACATTTAGGTATAGGGCACCAGGCCTCAGCTAAAGGAGCCTGTTCAGGCTGTTTTTAAAAATTTCATAGGTTCATAGGAAAGTAAGGCTGGAAGGGACCTCACAAGATCATCTAGTTCAGGCCTCTGCCAAAGCCAAGACAATCTCTGACTAAGCCATCCCAGCCAAGTATGTGCCCAACCTGCTCTTTATTCTATTTTTGTTTCAGAAAATCAAAAAAAAGAAAAAAGAAAAAAATGGTAATCATGCTTAACTACTCTATTTTGAGGGGGATAACTCAGGAATCTCTATATCGGGGCAGGCAAGATATAGCCTGTGGGCTGGATCTGGCCCACCAGGCAATTCCACCCAGCCTGTAAGCACCCACCAATTAATCGTACCCCACCCAGCCTGCACGCCTTGCTCCCATCTTGGTGCACAGAAGGACCTGGCCCAGCCAGCATGCAGCTTCTGGGGGGGGCTGGCTCCTGCCACTACTGCAGCTGATGGGGACCTGCTCAGCTTCCCCATCCTCCAGCAGCTCCTCCTTGTCTCCCTGCTGAAGCGCTTGCTCCAGGCAGCAGGTAGGGAAGTGGAGGGTGTAGGGGGAGCTGCGGTGGGGGAGCACTGCAGCTGGGCAGGGGTGGGGAGCATGGGGCTGGTAGGGCCATCCCTGCCCCCCTCCTTCCCCACACACACTCCTCCAATGGTGCACATCCTCCACTGCTGGTGGCAGCAGCAGCAGCAGCAGCAGCAAGCAGGGACCCTCGGGGCGCCCCTGCCCAGGAGTGCGCAACTTAGGCCAGTGTTGCACATGGGGGCAAGGAGTGCAGCCTGCCTGGCCCACCTCTATTATGCTGGGCTCCTTGTGGCGTGTGTGCAGATCCTGGCATTTGTGTGCCACCGGGGGAAGCCCCACGCAATGGAGCCAGCTGCATTCCCCACCACGTGCAGCTGCTGGGACTCCACCAGAAGTGACGAGGAGCTCTGCCCCAACTTCTGTGGTGGCAGGGAGGGGCGAAGGCAGCTGACTCTGCCGCTTGGGGCTTCCCTCCAGTGGCATGCAAGTGCCAGGAACTGTACATGCGCTGCGAGGAGCCCAGCGTGATAGAGGCAGGCCAGGCAGGCTGCACTTCTTGTCACCATGTCCAGCTCTGGCTGGAGGCAACATACCCTATGCCCCCCCCACACATCCCCACACCCTATACACACACACACACCCCAATCATACCCCCCACACAAAATACAAGAGTAAGACTTTATTTTTGACTTATTAAGCAGTCACTTCTCTATACACTATACAAACACAAATCATGACAAAAATATTTTTTTTGTAAGAAAATTAAAATACGTTACAGTGAATGTTAGACTTTTAGCATATGATTTAGTTTTTTTCTGGTTCAGTCCCCCCCTTCCCTCCCCAAGGAGTACTTCTGCGGGAAGGAGAGGGACTTCCAGTGACAAAGGTCAGGGGGCAGGACTTCTTGTCCCAAGACAGTGCCCAGGGGGCAAGGCGCCTGTCAAAGGCCAGGGCTACCCTTGTGGCCTTTGACAGCTTACCAAAACGCATTGTGGCCCTCCAGCAGAAATAGTTGCCCAGCTCTGCCCTGCATAATTCAAATTGGCCAGAAAAATTCTGCCTCAACTCCAGACTCGCCTACCAATTTGAAGTCAGTGGATTTTAGAGGAAAGGAACTATGTCATACTTAAGATGGAAACTCAGTCTCAGTTACAACTTCTGTAGAACAACTGATGTTGTTCTACAATGAAGCTGTCTTCCCTTGGAAGAGAACTCAAAATTGATTTTGCACTATTCTGATTGATTGTTTAACTCTGTTCTCTCTCTACCCCATTACTGTTCCTAATTACACATCAAACACAAAAGTATGTGACCTTGCCAATTGAGTCAGCGCGGGGAGGGCAGGGAAGGTAAAAACTAGAAGCCCTATTAGTTTCAGTATTCCTCCTTCTGGAGACAGGATTCTGAAAGCCACTTGCTATTTAAATCAAGATCTTAATACCTAGTGTTCTTTAGTTACACACATACCAATAAGGCTGCTTGTAAACAAGCTATTGCTATTTGCATGGTAATGAAGAGTTCTGGATAAATAATTCATAATAAATAATTTATTTGACTGATTTAACTGCTTTTTAGGATCACAAATTGTCTGCAAGGTGATAAATTCAAATTTAATTTGAAATTTACCAAGTAATTATTGGCCTACAGCTTGGTGATGAGCAGTTTGAGCAAATTTGAACTCTTTTAAATTAAATATATTGCCAACATGGATTCAGTTTCTGCATTTCTGGTGTAAATCTCACATTAAAAATTATTCTTTGTAATATTAATTTAATTAACTAATTATCAGGGCAAATATTCTGGCTGTTGGATAATTAAATTTTGGAAGGCAATATAGCTCCTGCCTAGAGGTCCAAGCAAGAAAGGCGGTTCAAAGAAAAAAATTCCAATTTGACCTAGGAGATCATTCTTTTCCTCTGAATTTGAGCAAGCTGTGCATTATTTGAGAACACGCACAACCTTGGCTTGTAATACAATAATAATCACCAAATCAACTGTACATACCAAAAACATTACATCCTCCTCTCCTTCAGTCTTGCAGGTGTCAGGAGTCAAGGTGGCAGGCCAGCAGACAAGCTGCCCGAGCGCCTCCAGCTGGCCACAGTTAAAGTGCTTGGGTATGGTTGCAGCATATGAACAGCAGCCCTTGCAATGCTCTGTGCACTTGCAACAAGATAGGTTTCCTTTCTCTCTAGTCACAGTGCTCTTGACTTGGTTGTTCAGTCCTAGTTCTGATTCCTGATCCTTGGCTTCTCTGTTCCCTAGTCCAGTTCCTGATGCTCAGCTCTCAGCTGAAACCTGTGAATCTTTTCCTAGCTCCTGAATGAACCTCTACTTAGCCAGAACCCTTGCCTAGCTCCTAGTCTCTAGTTCCTGTCTAGCTCCTATTCTGGTTTATGACCCTTTAGCTCTTGAACTCCCAGCACTGTGTTCCTTAGTTTCGCACTTCCCAGGTTTGTGCCCTTAACCCTGACACTTGGTCCCCATGTCTGGGTCATACCTGTAACAACAAGAGAGTAAGGCTTTCATTTTTACTACATATGAAAGAGTTTTAAACCTGTTAAGCTGAATTTGAATTGGTAGTATCAGAATCAGAACACATATATAGTATTAATTTTTAGTGCTATTATGACTTACACCAAGAGATCCAAAGTCACCCTTTTAACTAAGAACTAAAGAAATCTTACTGGGAAAATCATGATTAGGCACATCAATCAAAGTCACCTTTTTCCATTATCACTTTTGGACTGTTCCATATTGTCCAGGGCAATTATCACATTATTATTAGACAATTCTTTCTCCCATGGTACAAGGGTCTCTACCACTCCTTGACCAGATACCTCTTAACAGGAACATATAGAAAAGATGCCCATGGTTCAGGATTACTGGGTCATACTCCGATAAACCAGGTAGATTAAAGACAAACCCCCCAGTTTTGCTTGAGTTTCCATGGCTTGCTTTGTTTTAAAAACAGACCTAAAGTATAAAATTAGAACATCTGAGAGAGAAAGCAAACAAATGTACAAGAGGTGAGGAAGGGTGGGATTACTTTAAAAATAAGTGAAAATACGCAAATTTAAAATTGCAAGGTTGTTTCTGTTCTGTGCTAAACACAGGCAAAGCAACAAACAATACTG